TTGATTAGATCTGTGGCAGAGTTTTACCTCTGGTTCTTTCTTTTGTTGTGAATTCCTCCTTCTAGTCATTTTGTCCAGAGAAGATTGCTTTTATTTATTTTTTTAATATTTATTTATTTATGATAGGCAGAGAGAGAGAGAGAGAGAGAGAGAGAGAGAGAGGCAGAGACACAGGCAGAGGGAGAAACAGGCTCCATGCACCGGGAGCCCGACGTGGGATTCGATCCCGGGTCTCCAGGATCACGCCCTGGGCCAAAGGCAGGCGCCAAACTGCTGCACCACCCAGGGATCCCTGTCCAGAGAAGATTGGATGAACAAATGAACAACATCAAAAATATCAACCATGACTCAAACAAGTTACACAGTAGACAAATCTGATGAAGTTAGTAAGCAAAACAGAAAAATGGTGAAAAAGAAAAGAAAAGAATAACGATGAAAAAGCAAAATAAAAATAATGAAAAGGAAAAAAAGTAGGGAAGAGAGAATGTAACCACACAGGTTAGACAAAACAGGGTGATCCACTTCTTCCTTACTATATTTTGGTCTGTATGCTACAAGACACTAAATCCCAAAACTGCAAAGAAAGCAAAACTTACATATACACAAAAATAAAATTGAATAGAGTGAAAGGAAGCCAAAAATGAAATATGTATCTATAAAATGTAGTGGTAAAAAATGAAAATTAAAAAAAGACTTAAAAAACAAAGAGTTGGTAAAATAAGAAACTATTGGAAAAAGGAAAAAAGAAAAAAATTGGAAAATTTTAAACAGAGAGATAAACAGATCGCGAGAAGAAACATCAAATTCTATATACTATTTTCCTTAGCGCTGGATTTTTACAGTCTTGTGGGGTCTGTAAACTTGCTGTGCACCTGTTTTTCCAGCTGGCCTTTTGGGGGAGGGGCCTGCTGTGTTGCTTCTCAGGTGTCTGTGTCTGGGAAGAGTTGCACTGCCCCCTTGCAAGGGGCCTGCACTCAGTGTAAGCTGGTCCTCACTGTGGCTTTTGTTCCCTGAAGGCTTTCCTTACCTCCTTAGAAGGCCAGAATAAAAATAGTTGCATCCCAATCTCTAGCCCCAGAGCTAAAAGATCACAGATTCCCTCTTCAGTAAATCCTCAGGAATAAACGGTCTTCACCTTTGTGTGTGCCACAGTCTGCAGACTCCTGCAGGGCGTGCCCACACTGATCTTACTGGGGGGAAGTCAGAGTGTCTTGCCTTAATGCACTTTGTAGGTGTTTAATGCACATGGTCACCAAATCCTGTGTGCACCTGCTCTGTCCCTCCCAGGGGAAGGCAGAGAGTCACCTGGCATAGTCCCCATTCAGGGCCTCCACCCTGGGGCTGTTGCCTGGTCACTTGTGCACCCGCTCCACACCTCACAGGGGATGGTGGAGGGTCCCCACATTCTAGCACTCTGCAGGTTCCCCAAGTGCAGAGCGGTCACCTGATTGGCCCTGGCTCTACATCTGTGTAGAACCAAGTTGAGAGCCCCCTTCTATGCTCCTGAACCCCAACCAATCTCCCACTCTACTGCTTGGGGACTCCACCAGCTCAGGTAATCCCACTAAATCTGTGACTCCAGAGATCCCGAGATCCCACTGTCCCACCTAGAATTCTGCCCTTTCAACACCTGAGCACCTTTTTGGCAGAGATGTCTCTCACTACAGCAGATTTCTAAGAGGTCTGATCTTGCCCTCTGGGGCTATATCACTTTACAGTAGTGGGCTTACAAAGGCTCCCACACTTGCCATTTATCTTCCAATATCTCCCCTCAAATTCACTTCTCAGCATCTCCTACCTTGCAAAAAATGGTCCCTTTTCTATGTGTGGAATTCCAGATAGTCTTTTCTTACATCGCAGGTTGAATTCATGGGCATTCAGAATGCTTTGATAGTTAACCAGCTAAATTCAAGGGACCAGATGAAACGAGGTCCTCCACTCTTCTGCCATCTTGCCTCATCCCTGGAAACTCTTATTTCTTAAAAATTTCTTTATTTGAGAGAGAAAGAACAGAGAAAGAGGGAGAGGAAGAAGGAGACTCTCCACTAGGCAGAGAGCCCGGCATGGGACTGAATCCCAGGACCCTGAGATCATTACCTGAACCAAAGGCAGACGCTTAACCAACTAGACATCGAAGACCCTGGAGAAAACTCTTTTAATGTCATTTATTCTAGAGATGCTCAATATTTTGCACCTGCTAAGTAATGAACAGGGAATGCCCCCAAAACTTAAACCCCAAGCTACAGGACACATATTTATGAGAAGTACAGAGACAAGAGCAATAAAATGTCCATTTCTTTCTGGGACAGCACAAGGGATCCCAAAAAGCCAACATCCAGGTATATAGAGAGTGAAGAATGGGGTGTGACCTGAAACCCCCAGTTGGCTAGATGACACCACCATGCTCCCAACACCACAGGTTAGTGTTTGTATATGTTTTTGAGACTCTACTTCATACAATACATAGGGGAAGATTCTACATTTGATTGGCTTCATATTAACAGATTGCAAGATTGCAGAAAAATTATTCTATTTATGTACTTAAAAGAACCTGATATTATAAACAATCTTAAGGATCCCTCTGTAGTTTGTGCTTGTGGTAAAAAACATATCTTAATGCCCATTTTACCCATTTTCATTAGAGAAGAAAATAACACATGAGCGTGATGCAGGCTGACGGTGACTGTGGACCCTGGTTGGATCCCCTAGATTCATGGGGAAGAGATGCAAACGCATCACGGAGTGGGGAGGTCAGTGTCCAGCAGCTGGATCTGGGGCCTCCACAGGACAGCATTGGCAGGGGGCTGTGGGACTAGTGCCTCAGGGGCTCTCCTTCTCTGCATTAGGAAGGAGCACGAGAGAACCAGCATCTGCTTGGTTCCTGCTCGCAGACTGTGCAACAGGACGGGACTGGCTGACGGTGATGACCCCCTGCAAGAATCAGTTAGGAGCCCTACAGACAGGGGAGCCTCTGTAGTTGGTGTGTGTGGTTGGGGAACAACACTTAATGCCCATACGGTTTGTACGCTCCCCCACAGCACATGTCCCTGAAACGTGACCTTCAGAATGAACCAAGACAAAGTACATTCCAAAGGACAGACCATGGAATGAGGGAGGAATCTGAGCTTCAGAGACTCGGGGAGGATGGGACGATGAGCCCTGAGATGGCACAGCCCAATCCCAGGACATTCTACTGAAAGGAGCACCAAGGGCCCAGGCGTGCACACGAGGCATCCCAGAAGGAAGGGCCCTCGGGACTCCTGGAGTCACATCCAGCACCTGGGTCGATCTCCTATTTTCTAAAGAAATCAGGCAGGTCTTCCCCCACGGCATTGGGATCCAGCACCTGCTGTGTGCACGCTGTGGGCGGGGACAGAGTGGGGTGACACGCACAGGGGGCACCTCCGACCAGCCCCCCACACGGAGTGCATCTCCTGGGCCCCTGAGCCCAGTCCTCTCTCTGGAGACCCAGCTGGATGGGGAAGGGCAGCAGCGGGGAGTGAGGCCCAGAGGAAACCTCCCCTTTGGGGGGACAGGAGGGTGGGGGCCTTGCCAGCACCGCCTGCCTGGACAGGAAGGGAAGGACGTGGGGGAGCCCCTGGGGGCGGCCTGCGGATTCTGTGGAGCGGGACGAGGCCCCGCACGAGTCCCTATGTTCACCGAGCTCTTGGCTGGGGGTGGGGAGGAGGGCGGGCAGAGAGCCAAGTGTCCCTAGGACCTGGAAGGCCTTTGCCCCATCCTGCTGCAGGGCCAGCACATCTGTGTGTGGTGAGCGGTCAGGGGCCATGCTCAACCCCACACAGGCCCCAGGACCCAGACCCTGGACGGGAGGCATCGGCCAGGAGGGAAGCAGGCTGAGGGCCAGGGTGCTCACTCCTGGGACCAGAGCATCTGGGGGAGGGCAGGGGACGGAGGGGGCTAGAGCACCCGGTGAGGGTGGTGAGCAGATGGGGGACAGGAGAGCAGGGCAGTAGTGGGGCAGTGGGATCTCCTCCTGGGGTCTTTTGTCTCCCAGTCTCTGCTCAGCTCACTGTCATCAGCTAAGCAGAAGCCCTCTCTGATGTGTGTGGGGGTGTCTGTGCCAGCGGGGTATACCGGAGGGCCATGAGGAGGGCCTCTCAGCCTGGGTCCCAGCCCCCACCGGCTCTGGAGCTGTGGACGCCTGGCCCCACTGCCCTCCAGGTGGGCTGTGCTCCTGCATGTGGGTCACGGGCTGTCAGTAGGAACTGCTTCCCGCGTGAATACAAGTGTGTGTCCTCATCTGTTCATGCAGGGGGCCCCCAGGAAGGGGGAGCAGTACCCAGGAGTGTCCTTGAAGACCCAGGGACCCTGGCCAGTCCCCTTGCACTGCCACCACAGCATGATCGGGCCCCTCACGTGGCCGGAGGAGATGGTGTGGCCCAGAAATCCCGCCGGGGCCCTGGTGTCCACCCCAGGGCGGTCATTCCTGCATGCACAGCGGGGCAGCGCCACCCCCCAGCCTCCCTCATCCATCCTCGTGTCCGTCCTCTTGGGGACCATAGGATCCCCCACAGTCCCTCCTGTTGTAGCGACCCCCGCACCAGGACGAGAAGATGCTCCTCCAACCAGAAGGCCAGAGGCCCCCACGCCAGGAGCCCCACAGGAGCTGAGGATCCCCGGGCTGGAGGCCCTGCCTCATCCTCCCTGGTGGGGAGGTGGAATGGTGACAGAAGCCCCAGAAGGCCCCCTCAGGCCCTTCCTTCGTGTGAGGGCCCCTGTCGGGCACAACCTGGACGCCCTCAGGAAGGCAGCGCAGAGCCTTTCCCAACACAACCATCTTTATTCCCAATGTGCACACAGTGCCCAGGGGGCTGCCACCGGGCCCCTCCCTCCCTCCCTCCCTCCCTCCTTCCCTCCCATCCTCCCTCCCTCCCTCCTTCCCTCCCTTTCTCTCTGCCCCCCCTGGGCAGGACCAGCCCAGGTGAGGAGGCCTCTCAAGGCTGCAGGGGGCCCCAGGCAGGGGCAGAGGGCACCCCCCCCTACTGGCTGCAGTGGCGCTTCCTCCTGCTCCCCATCGGAAAGGGGTCACACCTTCTCTTTGGAGGCTGTGAGGGGTGAAGCGGCCCCACGGCCTTGGCCTTGGCCGGCTGCCCAGAGCCCCTGAGGTAGGCCCCAGGGAGGGGCGTCTTCCCTGCAGGGTCTGGGCCCCCCCACAGAGCCCGCTTCCAGGACTTGGGGGCCAGGGGAGCGGCGGGGCCCAGACCTCTCCTCTGGGGAGATGGGGTCCTCCGCCGTGCGGGGCTGGGGAGGTGGCGGTCGGGCGTGGGACTCTGGGAGAACTCCCAGGGCAGCAGGCTGTGCTGCAAGGCCAGGAGGAAGGCCAGGCTGGGCAGCTCCTCGTCCTCACTGGAGCCGACCCCGGGCCCCCCAGGGTCCCGGGAGGGAGGGGCCTCCCTGAGAACGGGGGCTCCCCGGGAGCCGGGGCCAAGGGAGGCGCACCTCTGACCCTGGGGAGGGGAGGGGGGCCGTGCGTCCCACGGCGCAGGGGGCTCTGGTCGTCTCGGGGAGCCAGCAAAGGCTCTGGGCCTCGACAGGTGCGTGTGCGCGCGGCTGTGCCTCTGGGGTTCCTGGCCGGCCGTCTCCGGGGCGCAGGCTCCGTCGCCCGCCCCAAGCTGGGCACCTGCCTCACACTCAGGACCGGAGCCCCACCCGGCTGTGCAGTGATGTGGGGGGGTCCGCACGCCAGCCTCCACCTTCAAGGCCGCCAGTCTTTTCTCCACTAGCTGGAAGGAAGGAGGTGATGGTGGCCACACAGGTGTGAGGGGGGAGGGGGGACGGTGGCATGGGGGGAGGGAGGGGGAGGGGGGCCCTGGGGGCTGTGGCTCTCCTGACATCCTCCTGGTCCCTCCTCCCATCACCTGGTCCCTCCCTCCCTGGCTCACCTGGTGCCCTCCCTCCCCAGGCTCACCTCTGCAAGGCTCAATCCTTCCTCCTGTTCCAGTTTCTCAGCGAGGGCCTGAAGGTCCAGCTGAGTTTCCGAGGAAAGCAATTCTGCCAGGAACGTAGGGTGGATGACTGCCTCCACCTGGGACAGAGGAATGGTGTGGGTAAGCTTGGCAGGAGCCCCTGGGGCCAGGATGTGCTGCAGGAACCCTGGAAGGTGCGGATCCCCCCATTCTTCTCCAAAGGCCGGATGATTTGACATCACAGTCAGTGGATACAGGCATGCACACACACCCCCAAACTGGTGGGCCCACAGACATAAAGGCACACACACAAGTACATACCCACACACCTGCACGCCCACCTGCATGCACACAGGTACACACACGTATGCACACATAGGCACACGTGCACGAACACACATGCATGCAAACACACAGTATACACACATGCCTGCATGGACACACACAGGCATACACACGCACGCACTCACAGGCACACAGACAAGCACACACGCAGCTCAGGAACACGGAACGGAGCTTTGTGCCAGAGGTCTGGGCGCAGCCCCGATCCCCGTGTTGGAGGCCAATCCGGGAACCTTCTAGACAGCAGGCTGTGGGCCAACCCACCTTGGTGATGAAGTCTTCCTGGGAACACAGCTGGTCAATGTAGCTCAGGAGACCCGGGTCCTCGTCCCACTGTGGCTCCTTTCCGTCCTCTCCCCGTTCAGCCACTGGGCCCTCCGGGGCAGAGAGGGCAGGTCCCAGCAGCCCGTCCATGACCTCCATGTACTCTCTCACGGCCTCAGGGGGGATCTCCTTGGGCGCCTTGTTGTCTCGGGGCCGCCGGGGTCTGTGTGGCTGCCGGCGGGATGGCTTGGCCCTGGAACCCGCCTTCCTGGGAATGCACGCTGAGACAGAGCAGGAAGGAGGAAGGGGGCGTGAGGGGCTCCAGCAGCGCCTTGGGAGGGCGGTGTGGGGGGGGTGCCCAGAGGTAAGTGGGGGGGGGCGGGACCACCTGAGACCACAGCCCCCGTGGGACGGGGGACGGGAGGGAGGAGCATCTGAGAGCCATACGGGGAGCGGGTGTGACCCCCCAATGCTCCAAGGGTCTCCCCACGCAGTCCACGTCCCAGGCAGACTTGGTGGGGGGCCCCCTACGGGAGGGGGGACAGGAGAAGTTCTCCAGGTTGGGACCCGTCCTGACACAGGGCGCTGAGACTCCAGGCTCTCTGTGGCCACGTCCACGTGAAGGAGAAGACAGGCCCGGGGGACAGCGGCTGCCCCAGACCCTGCTGTGGCCACAGCTCCCATGGCAATGTGGGTCCGTACCTGGCTGTGGGGCCGTCCCTGGGGCCGGGGGCCCCCGCAGTTCAGGCTTCGGGGGGACTGAAGGAGGCAGGCCCTGGGCCACCTTCACCCACTGCAACTTCTGAATCTTTATCTCCTCCTCCGCCTCAAACTCCATGAACCTGGGGGTGAGGAGGCCCAGCCACACTGAGGAGGGGGCCCCGCCGGGGAGCCCCCTAAGTTGGCAGCAGGTGGAGGGACCAGGAGAGGCGGGGCCTGGAGGGGAGGCCGTGACCCCAGCCCCCAAGGAGGCAGTCAGCTGGATGTTCAGGCCCTCCCCAAAGCTCTCTCGCAGGGAGTCCGACCATGGGGGAACTTGGGGTCACCCCCCATTCCCAGGCCAGCTGGTGGAAGCAGGGGTGAGTCAAGAGCAGGGGAGGGTGGGATCCAGGAAGGGAGGTGAGGGGGCCCCACTGGGACGAGCTCCGGCACCCCTTGACCCTGGCCTGGGCCTGGACTCCCCCCCCGGCCCTGGGCAGGGGACCCTGACTCACTTTCCTGCCATCTCGTAGTAGATAAGCCGGTCGAAGTTGCTTTTGGTCTGCCACTCCTGCACGGCCCGCCACACGCCCTCCTCCAGCGTCATCGTGGGCTTCAGGCGGGCCAGGGTCCGCAGCACCGGGCTGCAAGCCATGGGGTCAGGGCTCAGGGCTCAGGGCTCCATGGCATCCAGGCCCCGCCCCCAGGACAGCAGAGCGCACCCCCACCAACGTGGCCCAGAGCTGGCAGGTGACTGCACGAAGCAGTCGTCCCGGCCGGCCCCGCCCCCGCCCCACCCCTGCCCAGGAGCACAGCTGACCATCCCCTGGCCCCCTCGGCAGGGATGCCGGGCTGGGCTCGGGGCTCGTTCCTCCTGGCCTCTGCCTTTCACAACAACAGTCCTGACATTCCTGGGCCAGACCAGGAGCCCCGTCCTCAGAGGGAAGGGCCGTCCCCCTGAGTTCAGGAGGGACCCAGAGGCCACAGAGAGGCAGGCCGGTGCCAGTCCCTGAGGAGGGAGCCCACGCCCTGACCCCTCCCAAGCCTGGGCCTCCCCTTCCTACTGCCATCCTCTGGGACATCGAGGATGGGGCTGCATGTGGCCTCTGCAGGGCCTGGTGGCCGATACCACCTGATGGGCCATCCCCTCCACATGAGAGGCCCCATCCTGTGTTCCCAGGAGACAGGACTGCAGAGGCCCGGCTCCCTAACCCTGGCTCCTCCTCTCTTGTGGGACCCTCTCTCTGCCCCCGAGGCCCCAGCCAATGGCACCATGAGGCCCATGGAAGGTCAAGGTCAAGTGGGCTAGGCTCCCCGGGGGTTGGGGATCCGCTGAGATGGTCACCGGACCAGAGGTGCCTCCCCGGAGTGGCCCCCCCTCACGCCTTGCCCGCCACGCATTGTCCCAGGTCCCCCGGCGGCGGGGGGGGGGGAGCCACGGGCCCCAGGTACTCACATGAGAAAGCAGGACAGAGCTTCGGCGTCGGGGCTCTGTGGCAGGTGCCTGCGGGCCAGGGAGTTGAAGCGCTGCCAGCGCCTGAAGTTCTCATAAACGCTCCTGGGGTTACAGGAGTCCTTGGGCGACGCAGCCCTCGGGTTGCTGGCTCCGCTGCCCTCCCTGCCAGCCCCGGGGGGCAGCGGCCCGGTGTTTACGAAGTGCTCCAGGGCGCTTAGCGGAGCCGCTGGTGGCAGAGCCGCAGCCAGAGGGCCTGGGGCTGAGATTCCCTGGCCGACCTGGGAGCCCCCAAAGGCCGAGGCGGGTACGCCGGGTACCATCACAGAGGCCGCCAAGAACACGGGTGTGGGACACGCAGCGCCCCCACAGAGTGCCCCCGCCGAGTTCCAGGTGGGGGGGGCCTGGGTCAGGACGATGTTCTGAGTCTGGAGGGGCTCCAATGAACCCTGTTCTGACCCGACCTGCACAATGACGTTGCAGGTCCCGGGGCCCCCAGGGCCGTGGCCAGCGTCTCCTGCCACCAGCGGGATGCTGGGGAAGGATGGCAGCTCCAGGGGGCCACTGGCGGGGAAGGGCAGGTTCAGGAGGGGTGGCGGGGGCAGCGCCCAGGAGGACTGGTGGGGTATGCCGTGAGGGGGTGCGGGAAACGGCTGGGATGGGAAAGGAGACGCAAAGGCGCCCATGTCCGTGGCCACGTGGGGCCGCAGCACTGGAAACGCTGTGGACAGAAGGAAAGGGCGATGGAGTCAGGGAGTGGCAGCCGGCTCCGAGGGCCCCTGGGCCCCTGGGTCCCCGGGGGCAGAGCAGGGACCCTCCCACGTGGGGACTCTATAGGGAGGATGTGCAGCCCCTTTCCGCTGCCCCCTGGGAGGGAAGACCACACCTTTCCGGGCTCCGGCCTCCAGCGGGGAATGACCCTCCCACCCACCAAGACAGCCGGCCTGCCCACGAGAGGCAGGCAGCCTCGGGGACCCTGGCTCTGACCCCCGCAGCCCAGCAAGCTCCCCTTCCTCCACCTCACCCCACCCACAGCCCGGTCCAGCGTCACAGTTGGATCCCAGGGATTTGAGGCCCGCCCAGATCTGCCCCATCCACCCGCCTACAGCCTTACCTCCTCCTGTTGCCATCCCCCCAGCAGGGCTGCTGCCGCAGGGCAGCCTCCACAGTCAGAGGAGTCCCGTGCAGGACCCACCCTGTGACCTGCTGCAGCAGACGCTCAGGATGCAGGTTGAGGAGTGAAAAGTTTGAATTTAAACGGGTAGAATGTAGGACTCAGGACATTCTGCCCGGGGGAGGGGCGGAGGGCCAGGCCCCGGGTGGGGGTGGGGAGACATTCCGGAGCCAGGCTCTGGCAGGTAGGCAAGAACCCTGAGTTCTTTTCAAATGATACCGGGGCACCCTGCCGGGGGTGGGCCTTCCCGGGCAACTGGGAAGGCTGTGCTCCACATTCACAGCACCACGTGTGCCTCGGTGCCCTCCCTGCTCCCAGTCGGGGTCCACGAACCCAGGCTGGAGTCCCTGCGGCCACTCCGCTTCCTACCTGGCTCCTGACTTACTCCAAACAGGGGCTGGACCGTCTGAACTCAGTTTGGAACACAGACCCTGATTACGAAGGCCACGGGGACCCGAGGGTGTCAAATCAGCCTTGTGTCAGCAGGTACCGCAGGTGTAGCTGCAGGTCGGCCTCCAGCCCCGGGCCGTGTGCCCACCGCCCTGAGGTGTCAGGGGCTGTGCGGCTGCAGTGGGACCAGCCAGCCTCCCTGTGAGCCCCTGGGCGGGAAGGCCCGTCTCTTAAGGGGATGCACAGCCTACACACAGGAGATCCCACATCACTAGGTCCTGTTCCCCGGCTTATGATGCTGTTGTCAGATATTGATTTTTAACCTCTCTGATTATTTTAGTGTAACATTTCAAGGCAGCAATACCCAATACCTTTGTTTGGTTCACAGTCAAACTGTACATCGTGGAAGGACTGTGACGCCTCTTCCTCCCGCCTCCTCCTCCTGGCAACGCAGCCCCTTTCTCCCAGGAAACCAGTGTCACCTGGTCCTTTAAATCTTGAGAGACATGTAGGATGTGGCTAAAAGTAAATGCAACTATTTCTGCTTTTTTGACACCTGAAAGCATATTTCTCTCTGGTTAAACGTTGATACAGGTTCCCAAATATGCTTCACATGCACAGTGATTGTCTTTGTTCTGCTACTGTGGCTCTTCTCCGTATTCCTGGAGGTTAGATCGTAGAAGCAGCAGCGCTCCCTTCCTTTACAATTCAGAGGAGCCTGTAGAATAGGGCGGCCAGATTTAGCAAATAAAAATAATGGACACTCAGTTGAATTGGAATTTTAGGTAAACAGGGCATCAGCTATTTCCACAACTGTGTCTCATGCAGCATTATTGATATACTCTGAGTGCAAATCTGTTCCTCCTCTACCTAATTTTGCGTTTAGCTGGGCTTTGTATCATATCGGCATCTGCACCAGGAAGGTGTAACGTATTCAGCTCTTCCTGGTCACGAAGAGACCTCGGCACGTCCTACGTCACTGCCGGTCTAGGCTCAGTGGGGCTAACTACTGAAATAAGGGACAGGAAATCTTCCTCTTCCTGACATTAAAGGACATAAGAACACCCTCTAGCCCTGTTTTTCTAGGTGTTATAATCCGTGCCTGTGAAATGGTTGTGCGCCTTGAGTCAAAGCCAGGAATGTATCCCTTCCTCAGCACCAGCCTCCTCTCAGCCAGTCTGCCCTGGTAGCCCTGCTCATGGGCCCGCGGATTTCCCGTCTGCGTGACAGACCCTGTTTCCGCAGTCCAGGCTCAACTGCATGTGGAGTCACGGTATCACCTCAGGAACAATCGCATTGATGCGTGTTTTCATGTTGCACATCACCGTCAGTTTCTCAAGGACACAATGAGACGAAGGAGCGTTGGTGTTTTGTTTGTGAGACGACGACTGTTAGGCATTGGCCGAGGGTGACGAGGTGTGCGAACTTCAGAGGCTGCACCCAAGTGTGTTGGGAGAGCAGCTTCACTCCCGCTGTCCCGGGGGCAGAGCTCCGATGACGGCAGGGTGTTGGGGGAAGGAGAGGGCGGTTCAGAGGGAGGGCAGGCTCCACACCGGGCAGGCCCTGAACAAGACTCCTGAGAAGGGGCTGAAACCGTTCCTTGTCCCTGCAAAGGAAAGTTGACTCCGGAGGGCAGGGATGTGTGAACACGTGACAGGGGCCGTCCTGCAGGGGAGGGTGGTGGACTGGGAGTCCCGGGCCTGGGGTTCGTCCGCACCCCCACCCTGTGCTACAGTTGTGTAAGAAAGTATTTTCTCAATTCCCGTCCAACTTCCTCATGGTTTCTCGGTGTTCCCCCCGCTCGCACCCTGACAGGGGCCAGGGAGTATTTATAGAGTACTTCCGGAGTGTCCGAGTCATCGACCGGCCACCTGAGGGAGTGAGCCGCACGGTGGGGCCCTCTGGGACACATCCCAGGCCGTGCACACCACGCAGCCCAAAAGGCCCTCCACGCCCACCCCTCTGTCTATCCCCTCTTCCTCGACGTTCGCTGGGGACACGAGCTGAGAGCAATTCAAGCAAATCACAGTGAACTTTATTTCAAAAGTCCCTGTTGGGGACTGAAACAATTAACAACCTGGAGACGCTTCTCAGGCCTTGAACTTTCATCACGGGAAGCCTGAAACGGTCTTCGACCAACAACCTCCCATTAGAGAGATGTTGAGGCAAAATGTTGCACTCAGGCACTCGAGCAAAAAGTGTCCTTTTTACTCCCCCTCCCCCCCCCCCCGCCTTGTCCAGTCATTCGACCAACTCTTTACGCGATTCTCACTCATGGCTCAGACGCACACTCTGAATGGGCCGTCTTGGGGCCACTGATAGAAACATGACACTTGGAAACATTATCTGGTCTCAAATCTGCAGTCAGTTCGGTACCACTTGGAACTCCCTAGAGTCCAGCAGCAGATGGAGGCAAATTAGCCCCAACGTAATTGGGGAGGACTCGTGGTAGAGGGAGTGACAGAAATCTCTGGACCCTGATCTCTGAGCATTCCTGCAGTGACCTCTGAGAATAAACCACCTCTGGACAGGCGTCACGGGTCTGAGAAGAGGGATGACCTCCCAGCCATCACAGAACACGGGTAGCAGGGGAGACACCGGGCTTGAGCGCTGGGGAGTCTCCCTTCCGTGCACTTGGAGGTGTGTGGTGTGAGGTTAGGAGGTTTGCGGTGCCAGGAAATAGCCCTCATCTCCCAAGGCACCAGCAAGAGCTGTGACGACGGAAGCTTCTTCCACAAATGTTAAAAAGTTGAGTCATTTTCTACTGCCACTGAACATTCGGGTATTCCAACAGAGAGGGAGCGAGCTCCAGACGGCTGCTGAGCCGCCTACAACATCCCCAGGAGTGCCCCGTGGGCACCCGCGGTGTAAGGACGGCCTTCCAGGAACCCTGGCAGGTGCACAGCCGAGGACCAGCTGCACCGGGGACCCTGGCAGGTGCACAGCCGAGGACCAGCTGCACCGGGAACCCTGGCAGGTGCACAGCCGAGGACCAGCTGCACCGGGGACCCTGGCAGGTGCACAGCCGAGGACCAGCTGCACCGCGGACCCTGGCAGGTGCACAGCCGAGGACCAGCTGCACCGGGGACCCTGGCAGGTGCACAGCCGAGGACCAGCTGCACCGGGGACCCTGGCAGGTGCACAGCCGAGGACCAGCTGCACCGGGGACCCTGGCAGGTGCACAGCCCGGGACCAGCCCACCGGGAACCCTAGGCTAACAGGCTGCGTCGGCGGGGGCGGGAGGACCCCTGCGAGTGCTCCGGGTCTGGATCCTCCGCCAGCACAGGGCCTCCGTGGAACCTCGGGGCTCGGGGGCGGGGGCGCGGCGGGTGCAGGGCACCTGCAGCAGGACGCGGGGCGGCCGCTGAGCAGCACTGTCCACACGCGAGGCCTCGGGCTCAGGGGCACTTGCCCGCGTCCTTAGGAAGGTTACAGAGGGCACGTCTAGGACGTGATGACCGCGAGGGCTCACTTCCCGAGCGCTGGCTTGGAGGGGACCCGGCCACAGGAGTGCGGGGTGCGGGAGGCCCGGCGCCGCCCCCGAGGCGCCCCGAGCCTCTGGCTTGGCCTCTCCCGCAGGGACTTCTGGGCGCGCCCCGCACGTGCCCCGCGCCTGCCCGCATGCGCACGCGCACGCGCACCGGGGGCGGGACTCCTGGGCCCTGGACCCGCCCCCAACGGCTCCCAGCGTTCGTTAGTTGGTTCGTTGTGGGAGGAGGCGCGCATGCGTGGGCGGGTAGGCGGGTCCTAACGGCCCTGCACGCGGGGGGGGGGGGGCCCGCGGGGCGCCGCGGGGGAGGGGGGAGGGGGGCTCGGGGCGGCCTCGTGCTCCCGCCGTGGAAAATGGAGGGCCGGGCGTGCTCCTGGGCTCTCGGGGCAGCCGCCGAGGGTGGTGTTCCCTGCGCGGGTGTGTCGGTGCGGGTGGTGTGGCCCTCGGCGCTGGCGGCGTGGACGGGCCGGGACCGACTCTGGAGGTTCAAGGTGTGCGCGCCTGGACCCCGCGGGGCAGAGGCCGGTTCCTGGGGTCGGCGGCGGGACCCGGGCGGCCCGCGGGTCTGGGGTCTCGGCTCAAGGGTCTGGAGTCCTTGCTCAGGGGTTGGTGGTCGGTGTTCAGAGGTCCAGGCGGCCCGCGGGTCTGGGGTCTTCACTCAGGGGTTTGGGGTCCTTGCTCAGGGGTTGGTGGTCGGTGTTCAGAGGTCCGGGCGGCCCGCGGGTCTGGTGTCACCGCTCAGGGGCTTGGGGTCTTTGCTCAGGGGTTGGTGGTCGGTGTTCATAGGTCCGGGTGGCCCGCGGGTCTGGGGTCAGCGCTCAGGGGTTTGGGGTCCTTGCTCAGGGGTTGGTGTTCAACGGTCCGGGCTGCCCGCGGGTCTGGGGTCACCGCTCAGGGGTTTGGGGTCCTTGCTCAGGGGTTGGTGGTTGGTGTTCAGAGGTCTGGGCTGCCCGTGGGTCTGGGGTCACCGCTCAGGGGTTTGGGGTCCTTGCTCAGGGGTTGGTGGTCGGTGTTCAGAGGTCTGGGCCGCCCGCGGGTCTGGGGTCACCGCTCAGGGGTCTCGGCTCCTTTCTCAG